GGGCGCGGAGAAGACACTCTGCACTCAAGCTGACAAGTCCTGGGAGGTCTTCGTGGGCGAGAGCAATCTGGCAGTCTGAAGGAAACAAGATTGCAGAGCGACTCGGCCACATTAGGCTGGGCATCTCAAGGCAGATTATAAAGGCCAGATCAGGCCTCATAATGAGCCAGACGAGGCCAAATTCAAGGTCGTACCAGGGCCGGTGCACAAATCGACCTGCTAGGAACTGCACAGCAAAGGAATATGGGCGGGCGCGGCGACTTTGGCACCGTACTGTCACCGTTCACCCGTGGGCCAGACACCAAACACGCATTCGTTAACTGCTCCCGCCACGGGCGCGTGAGGGCGGCGTTTGCTCCACTCAAGGCGGACACGGTGCCACGTGGGCCGACCAGGCAATGCCAGGGGGCGTCACCACGGGGGGGGGGGCGCCAACTTCCCGAGGAAGCGAGGCCCCCTGCAACCCAACCCACTCAATACCCAAGGACGCACAAAAACGGCCCAAGCGTCCCCGATCCATCCCTCCTCCACCATCCTCGACTTCCAAGAGTGAAGGAGGGGGCAGCGACCACCCCCAGGAACTCCCAAGGACGTCCCAAGTGTCCCCGACCCATCCCTCCTCCACGATCCTCGATTTCCAAGAGGGGGGGGGCAGCAGCGAACACCCCCAGGGACTCCCAAGGACGTTCCAAAACGTCCCAAGCGTCCGCGACCCGTCCTCTTTCCACGATCCTCCATTTCTGTGAAGGGGGGGGGGGGACTGTCTGCTGGTGACGCCCCTGGGCGCTGCCCCAGCCGAGACAGGGTCGACCCACGGGGCGGCATGAGGCGCATGGCAAAAAGGATGGCGCGGCGCGCGCCCCCCCACGGGGCGCGCGGGGTCGACCATGTATCTGAGACGAAGCCAGGACGAGGATGTATTCGGATGAGGATAAGTCGAACAGTTCTGAGATCCCGCGGCTCTGGAGGATGTCTCGTGCGCCGCGGCCTTCTCAGAGCGCTCCGGTACTCTCTGAGAGCGTTCTGGAACGCCCTGGGACGGATTTATCCTCGTCCTAGCCCCGTCCGATGATGGGCCGCGTGGCGTCTCAAGGGAGGGGAACGAAATTTCGAGGTTCGAGAGTTGAGGTTTCTCGAACGGCGTCGCTTTCTCGCGTCCTGTAGCGCCGTCCGGTTTTCCACGCGACGCCACGCCTCGGCGGAGAATCTCGTCCATCCGCCTGGAGGCTGTGCAGCGGTCGGTCTGGCCGGGCCCCCCGTTCCCCTGTTCAGTCTGCGGCCAAGGCATCGGATAAGGAGCCATTGAACAAGGAGCCCAGGTTCTGGAAGCCCGCGGAGCTCCAATCGTGGATTGGCCACGGATGGCACCACCGCCCTCTTCAGATGAGGAACCCGCCAGGGTCTGAAGCCTCCTGGGCACACTCCAGAGCCAACGCCCCCACTGTATCTGGCCTGCGTCCTGCGAGGAAGCGATCCGCTGCCAGTGCGCGTCCGCCTGCTCTGCTGCGGGTCCCTCTGCGCCATCGACCCCCACCGCGCGAGGACGCGGAGCCAAGAGTAAGGCTCCTGGTGGGGCGCCCCAAGGCCCTCCCACACCCAGTCACACCCCGGCCCCCCGCCCCCGGAGACCCAAGGCTTCGGAAAAGTTGGAGCGGAAAACTGAGTTTGCTATTTTCGGCCTGGGGGGGCCCTCAACGGGCCCCGGGACGGTGAAACGCCGGCCCTAGTGAAGTGGTCCAGCAAGGCGTCCACGCATCGAAATTGGAGCGCGGGATGCCTGGGCCCAAAGCCCCTCCCGCGTAAAGCGCTGCTGAGCAGTTGCGCCGCGCCCATCTCGGTCGCCACCGTGCCCCGCCCCCCCCCCGGGCACTCCGGGCAGTGCTGGAGTGTCCCCGGCATGTCTGGTAGGGCTTCCCGACTCTTCTGGCGCCGACCCCCCACCACCGTGCCCCCCCTGGCACACTGGGCAATGCTAGAGTGCCTCTGGCATGTTTGGCAGGGCTTCTCGGATCTTCCGTTGGCGACCACCGCCCCTCTCAAGGCAGCAGGCCCCCAGGCGAGAACCCCCCCAATTTCCCCTCTGGCCCTTTCCATGTGGTCTTCTCGGCCGCTGGCACCGCCACGAAACCCTTTCAGGACAGCCCAGCCACGTCTCAAGAAAGTTACCTCCAGACGGTCGCACTCCCCCCAAGTGCCCTGAGGTAACCCTGAGAAAGCTCCGGCGCCTCAACGCAGAAACACCATAGTTTTGAACAATTGCTTCCTCAAATTCTTTCCGATCTCAGATGTTGTCACGAAATCTTCGGATGGCGCCAGGACGGCCCCAACGGACTCCAGGAATGCCGGCAGACGGTCTGAAGCGAGCCCCATGCAAGCGACGAGTTGGCCCCAGGATGGTCCCGAGACCCGACCAGATGGCCCGAGGGCGTGCCTCGATGCTGCAGCACACGTGGTCGGATAACCGATGCTGCGCATGATCGCGTTTCTGCCCCTCTCCTCGGGAGCGGTCACGTGGGGTACAGGCAGAGGTGGGGTTATAGCAAGGATCCAGCGAGTGTCGCTCCAGCATCCAGCGAGTGTCGCTCCCTAGCCCCACCTTGGGATAACACCCTTCTATTAACATGGGCTACCCATCGGTCGGAAGAAGCAGGTAGAACCATGAAGTAGGAAGGCGTTGAAGTAGATTGGGTTTCCGCCCGCCTCCTGCAGCGGAGGGAAGAGAGAAAACCACTCGACGCTCGAAGCAGGAAGGTGGCTGAATCAGACTGGGCACTCGGAACCCCAAAATACCTGCTTTCAACGACCGATGCCCACGGGTCCGCGGATCTGACGCGTGGGCGCCACATCCACGGATCGGGGGGGAGAGGGCCCCCCCCCCCCCGAAACGCGGCACCCGTGCCACCCGATTGGGCGACGGAGCGCGCCGACTCCGCACGGGAGCGGGGCCCGCCGCCGACGCACGCGCCGGATGCTCCGTGCGTGCGCTCCCACCCGGCTCCGCGACGAGCCCCCGCAGCCGACCTCCGTCTGGCACGGCATCGAGGTCCTCCCCCCCTGTGGCGAAGGCGGGGCAGACCCCGAGCAGGCGAGGGACAGCAGACGGCGCAACGACAGACAAACAAGGCGCACAGGCGGGCCCCGTCTTGTGCGGGCCCGACCTCCGCCTGAGGACGGCGGTGCCGACCCTCCTCACCCCATCACGGTGCCGGTGCTGCGCCTTCCGCGGGAGGGCGTGCTAGAGGACAGGCGCCGGCTCCGGGATGGGCGGGAGGAAGCCTCGGAGGCACGGCGGGCCGAGAGCCGGGCGAGGAGGGGCAGGGGGGCGAGGGCCCCCGACGCCCAACGCATGGAACAAAGACAGCCACCCGCTGAGGTTCTCACCCGTTTTCGGCCTCTGGGGGCCCTCGCGGGGCCCCAGGAGCGTCAGAAACATGCTCAGGATGAAGAGCCGGCCCCAAGGGAAAGGGCCGAGACTTCCGGGAAGCCCAGATTGAACAACATCGAAACATCGGATCTCTGGGGTGAGGGACGGAATGAGAGACGGGGAGGAGGACGAGGACTTTCTCGAGATTGAGAGGTTGGCTTCTGGAGGGAGGTGCGGACTGAGAGGGAGGGGGAGAGAAGGGTTCGGGTGGAGGGTAGGAAAAGGAGGAGGCAACATAGAAACGGAAAATGATGAGGATGATTCGGGGGGATGGTTGAGAAGAACAAAAGGTTTGGTAGGAGGCTTGAGGAGGACGATTGCGGAGGCGGGGCGATGAGGGCTGAGCAGGAGGATTGATAATCAGGGTTTAAGGGGTAGGGCGAGGATCGAGAAGGATCCGTTGACCAGGCGGCTGTCAAGAAAGCCACCGTGAGCTCCATTGAGCCCCCAACCCTCCTCCTCCTCTTCTTCCTCCTCTTCTCCTCCTCCTCCTCCTCTCCTCCTCCTCCTCCTCCTCCTCCTCCTCCTCCTCCTTCCTCCTCCTCCTCCTCCTCCTCCTCCCTCCTCCTCCTCCTCCTCCTCCTCCTCCTCCTCCTCCCCCCCCATCCTTCCCGTCGTGCTTCGTGCTTTTCCCGACCCCCAAGCTAGGGGGGGGAAGAAACAAAAAAAGCTTTCAACATGTCGGGAGAAATACTTTGGCAAGATGTTCGGATCGGGAAGGCTTTCTCGACATCAGTTGTTGCTTGTGTTTTGTAATGTCTGCTCGCTGACAGACCCCAGCTGCAGAAGCACGAGGAGACCGTGGAACCCGAACACACCTGCAATGAACGCGACCTCTGTGTCAACCCAGGAGACGGGCGGGGAGAGCGGAACAAGGGGAACTAATCTAGATGTAGGGCCGCCGCCCCGCCCGCACCGCACCGCACCGCACCGCGCGCCCCGCTCCTCCTTCTCCTCTTGCTCCTGATCCCTCCCATCCTCCCCACCCCCTCGGGAGGACGAGGAATACGATAAGGAAAAGGCAGAAGCAGGGGGAGGAGGGAGGTGGGATCAAGGCCTCCCGAGGATCAGGGAGGACTCGGAAATGAGGGCACAAGGAGCGTTTGCTGTTCGGGCTGGTGTGCTAACTCAGAAGGAGCTTGTTTTTTTATTGGGGGGGGGTAGCGCCCGTTACGGGGGGGGGGGGTCCGGCCCCAAATTGGGGGTAACGGTAACGCGCGGCGGGGCCCTCGCACGGGCCCTGGTACTTATTACCAGCACAACTGTCGGCACGGTAGGCTTCGTCGTCGTCGTCGTCGTCGCCGCCGCTGTCGTCGTCGTCGAAGCCGACCGTGCCTGTGCACACTACACAGGCTCTGTACACCGCGATGCCCTTGTACACCACAATTGCGGCAGAAATGGTATGCGTGTGCACCACGGCGACTGAGCACATCATGACAGGCGGGTGCACCACAGCGCCTTTGTACATCTCACTGTTGGCGCACGCCACGGCGCCCGCGTGCACCACAGCTGCTGTTTCAACGCCCCGTGTTTGCACCAAAATGCCAGCGTACACCACAAAGCTTGTGTACACCTGTAAAGTACCGGCGGAGCGAAAGTCCAGAAGATCGCTCGGGGCCCAACCGTGGCCCTTTCATTATGTGAGCTGTTTGTGGATCTTGGTTTTTCTGGTTCAGAAAGCGCTCGGACCTGTTCAGCCCACAGCGCCTGTGTACTCCATTGCGACTGTGTACATCATGGGAATGTGAACCGTGGCGCCTGTGTATACCACGTGGCATGTGTGCACCACAAAGCTTGTGTACGGTTTTTTGTGTGCGGAGTGTAAACCACGCGCCGTGGGGGCGCGCGGGGCGGCGGCAGCCTAGGGAATACAGGAAGCAGGAGCTCCCTGCACAGGCACAAGGCCCTTGAGACATGGGTCGACGGCTGGAGCGTGCACGCGGGCGCGTCGTCGTCGTCGCCGTCAGTTGCGACGGCGACCGGGGGGGCGACGGCGGCGGCGGCGGCGACACGGGCGGCGGCGACGGCGACCACGACGACGACGACGACGACGCGGCGGCGACGGCGACGACGCCGACGGCGGCAAGCGGCGGCGGCGGCGGTGAAGGTGACCGCCGCCGCCGTCACCGCCGTCGTCGTCGCCGCCGATGCCGCCGTCGCCGTCGCCGCCGCCGCCGCCGTGTCCGCAGCCAGTTGCCGAAAGCTTCAGCAGCGCTTGGGGCCCACTTGCTGGATACACATGCGGGGGGCTGGCGTGACCAGCCGCGCGAGGTAGGAGGGCCGAGCGCTGGAAGGACATGCGGCCACATCCGCGTGCAGGTCTCGCCCAGTCCAGCCCCTTGCACCAGCACAGGGAGAGTGGAGGGAGGACAGTGGTAGTAGTCATATTGATATTGTGAGAGTGCGCCGGCTGGTTGCGCCATGGCTTGCCCGATGCGTTACACCACACGTTGTGCTTGCGTACAATTACCTGCGCCATAGGTTGAGCCGTGAGCTGCGCCATAGGATGCGCCCCCAGGGCGTGACATAGCTTGCGCCATAGGTTGCGCACCCATGGCGCCCCACAAATCGCGCCTTACGTTGCGCCTTAGGTTGCGCCCTCAGGGCGTGCCATAGGTTGCGTCGATGGTTGCGCCACTGGTTGCGCCAAAGGCGGGGCCGCTTTGTGGCGCTGCGTTTCAACGGAACTCCTGGTGCGCGCACTGTTCGGGGAAACGTCGTGCTGGCAGGCGGGCGTCGGGACTCCGGGTGCAGCCCGCAGGATAATGACAACGGACGCGGCACGGATGACGACGACCAATATGTGGCACCTGTGGCGCGCCACACCGCCGATCAAGTGCTAAAGCTAGGATCGGAGAAGGATGATCGGAGGAGGACGCTCGGAGGGACCAGAGGAAGATGATCCCCCTCCTCCTCCTCCTCCGATCCCCCTCCGATCCTCCATCCTCCTCCTCCTCCTTCTCCTCTTCTGCCCCCTCCTCCTCCTCATGCCCCTCCTCCGATCCCCCATCACCTCCTCCTCCGATCCTGTTCCAACCCTCATCGTCCTCCTCGTCCTCCTCATCCTCCTCGTCCTCCTCCCTCTGCCTCGCTCCCCCCTCCCCCCAGGAGGTGAGAAGAGGTGGAGGGCACGAGCACTGGAGGGAGTGCAGAAGCAAGGCAAAGGAGGTGGAGGGGCCAGGCCGGAACCCGTTGAAAGGTTCGCGCCGAGGGATGCGAACCTCGAACCTCGAGGATCGAGGCATCCTGGCCCTCGAGGGCCTTCGTCGTCGCCGCGGCTGGACGCGGCTCGGGAAACTGGTGCGTCTGAGCCCCAATCGGGCCCCGTGGACCCATTTTGAGTTTGCGCCGAGGTTCGAACCTCGAACCTCGAACCTCGAACCTGAGCACACATGTGAGCGTCACAGCATGCCTGCCTGGACGGAGGGGGGGTCCGCACCCCCGTCCCCGTACGCTCGTTACCGTTACGGGGGGGGGGGGGGCCCCCCGTAACGGGCGTTACGGGTCCGAGCAATAAAAAAACAAGCTCAAGCACAGTCAGAGCATGAACCCAATCTTATTATGATGATAATGATGATGATGCTGCTGATGATGATGATGCTGATGATGGTGATGTTGGTGATGGCGACGCTTATGGTGCTGCTGATGATGATGATGTTGTCATGTTGATGACGATGCCGATGCTGATGATAATGGTGCTGCTGAGGGTGATGGTGATGGAGGTGGTGGTGATAATGGTTATATGATGATGCTGATGATGATGCTGCTGCTGAAAACGATGATGATGGTGATAATGAGAGGGAGGAAGAGGACGAGGAAGAGGAAGAGGCAGAGGAGGAGTAGGAGTAGGAGTCAAGCTAGCCAGCTCGAGCGAGTCAAGCATGGCACGCCCAGTCCCACCCGCCCTCCCACAACATAAGAAGCAAAGCTGGCACAACTGGGGGCCGAAGTCACACCGGCCAGCCGGTTTGGTACAGCTGATGCGGCCGCGATGGCGGTTGCCGACGGGAACTGGCGAGCGCGTGTTGAATGCCGCGCACGCATTGCCAGACGAGTCGAGAATGGCCCGGTACACCGCAGGAAGCCAGAGGTGGCCGGAGGAAGCCCGACGGTCTGACAGGACACCCCAAAGCATTTTTGTGAAAAAGCATTGGGTTTTTGATGTTTTTATGTTGAAATGCTTGCAAACACACGGTGTTCGGTAGGATTCTGACATGAACGCGCGAGTGTGCTCTTTGTTGTATTTTTTGCACAGGATTCGCGGCCTGGGTGCATGACAGAGCATCGCGAGTGCACCGCGCGATGACGTGAAATCGCTGGATTTGACCGAATTCTTAAGATTCCTATGGTTTTCCTATGATTTCAGCAAGAGAGCCCGGGCGGGAAATTTGTACAATTTTTATGAAAAAAGCATTGGGTTTTTGATGTTTTTATGTTGAAATGCTTGCAAACACATGGTGTTCGGTAGGATTCTGACATGAACGCGCGCGTGTGCTCTTTGTGGTATGTTTTGCAATGGATTATCGCCGTGGACGACAGGACGTCCATGTCGAGAGGAAAAAATAAGAAAAATGTTGATTTTGTATTGTTTTTTACAGGTTAGGATGGGACCCCCGGATGCGGCCCCTAATGGCCGGCCTGAGGGGGGAGTAGGAGTATATTCTAATAAGGAATAAGGATAGGATAGGAGTAGGAGTAGGAGTAGGAGTCAAGCTAGCCAGCTCGAGCGAGTCAAGCATGGCATGCCCAGTCCCACCCGCCCTCCCACAACATAAGAAGCAAAGCTGGCACAACTGGGGGCCGAAGTCACACCGGCCAGCCGGTTTGGTACAGCTGATGCGGCCGCGATGGCGGTTGCCGACGGGAACTGGCGAGCGCGTGTTGAATGCCGCGCACGCATTGCCAGACGAGTCGAGAATGGCCCGGTACACCGCAGGAAGCCAGAGGTGGCCGGAGGAAGCCCGACGGTCTGACAGGACACCCCAAAGCATTTTTGTGAAAAAGCATTGGGTTTTTGATGTTTTTATGTTGAAATGCTTGCAAACACACGGTGTTCGGTAGGATTCTGACATGAACGCGCGAGTGTGCTCTTTGTTGTATTTTTTGCACAGGATTCGCGGCCTGGGTGCATGACAGAGCATCGCGAGTGCACCGCGCGATGACGTGAAATCGCTGGATTTGACAGAATTCTTAAGATTCCTATGGTTTTCCTATGATTTCAGCAAGAGAGCCCGGGCGGGAAATTTGTACAATTTTTGTGAAAAAAACATTGGGTTTTTGATGTTTTTATGTTGAAATGCTTGCAAACACACGGTGTTCGGTAGGATTCTGACATGAACGCGCGCGTGTGCTCTTTGTGGTATTTTTTGCAATGGATTATCGCCGTGGACGACAGGACGTCCATGTCGAGAGGAAAAAATAAGAAAAATGTTGATTTTGTATTGTTTTTTACAGGTTAGGATGGGACCACCCGGATGCGGCCCCTAATGGCCGGCCTGAGGGGGGAGTAGGAGTATATTCTAATAAGGAATAAGGATAGGAGTAGTAGTAGAGTAGGAGTAGAGTAGTAGGAGTAGGAGGAGTAGGAGTAGGAGTAGGAGTCAAGCTAGCCAGCTCGAGCGAGTCAAGCATGGCATGCCCAGTCCCACCCGCCCTCCCACAACATAAGAAGCAAAGCTGGCACAACTGGGGGCCGAAGTCACACCGGCCAGCCGGTTTGGTACAGCTGATGCGGCCGCGATGGCGGTTGCCGACGGGAACTGGCGAGCGCGTGTTGAATGCCGCGCACGCATTGCCAGACGAGTCGAGAATGGCCCGGTACACCGCAGGAAGCCAGAGGTGGCCGGAGGAAGCCCGACGGTCTGACAGGACACCCCAAAGCATTTTTGTGAAAAAGCATTGGGTTTTTGATGTTTTTATGTTGAAATGCTTGCAAACACACGGTGTTCGGTAGGATTCTGACATGAACGCGCGAGTGTGCTCTTTGTTGTATTTGTTGCACAGGATTCGCGGCCTGGGTGCATGACAGAGCATCGCGAGTGCACCGCGCGATGACGTGAAATCGCTGGATTTGACAGAATTCTTAAGATTCCTATGGTTTTCCTATGATTTCAGCAAGAGAGCCCGGGCGGGAAATTTACACAATTTTTGTGAAAAAAAGCATTGGGTTTTTGATGTTGTTATGTTGAATGCTTGCAAACACACTGTGTTCGGTAGGATTCTGACATGAACGCGCGCGTGTGCTCTTTGTTGTATTTTTTGCAATGGATTATCGCCGTGGACGACAGGACGTCCATGTCGAGAGGAAAAAATAAGAAAAATGTTGATTTTGTATTGTTTTTTACAGGTTAGGATGGGACCACCCGGATGCGGCCCCTATCTGGCCGGCCTGAGGGGGGAGTAGGAGTATATTCTAATAAGGAATAAGGATAGGGAGGTAGGAGTAGGAGTAGGAGTAGGTAGTAGTAGTAGTAGTAAGTAGTAGTAGTAGTAGTAGTAGTAGTAGTAGTAGTAGTAGTAGTAGTAGTAGTCGTAGTAGTAGTCGTAGTCGTAGTCGTAGTAGTCGTAGTAGTAGTAGTAGTAGTAGTAGTAGTAGTAGTAGTAGTAGTAGTAGTAGTAGTAGTAGTAGTAGTAGTAGTAGTAGTAGTAGTAGTAATAGTAGTAGTAGTAGTAGTAGTAGGAGGAGGAGGAGGAGGAGGAGGAGGAGGAGGAGGAGAAGCCGAGGAGAAAGAAAGAGGAGGGGGCGGTTCGCGAGCTACCGACCACTTTCCTGGGGGTAGTATTGCGCACTGGATCCGTTTCTGAGGGCCATGGCGCCCGAAAACGGACCCCTGCTCGAGGCCAAAACGGAGGCAAGAACAGCAGGGAGGTCTGGGTGTCTGGACCAGCCGGCTACACGCAAGAGCGACCGACAGCAAGGCTGACCCTTGGTGCGCGGCCGGAGGGGGCCGTGGTGAGGCCACATCCAAGCGCGCAGGCCCAGAAATCTGATGTTTGAATTTGTTGGACGCAGGGCCCCTGGAATTCCCGACCCTCTTCCCAGGGCCGACGTCTCATCCTGACCTGTCTTTTTCGGGTCCTGGGGCCTGGCGAGGGTCCCCGAGAGGCCGAAACGACAATCCTCCGTCTTGGCTTTTCAATACGTTGGAGGTCTCAGATCTGAGGGACGGTGCTGGGGGTACCCCTGTGGGCCCGCACCGACATGTCACTCCGGCCACTCCAGCGAAGGGTGACTCTCACGGCTTGCTGTGCAAATATACGGTAGAGGAGAACACTCAGTGGCCCCTCGCCCCCAAATTCAAAGTTGGCACGCGCGGAGGAGACTGCGGTCGAAGTGCAACTCATCAGACCCACCGCAAACTTTGAACATTGGGAGGAGGGGGAGGTGTTGACCCATGAATCTGGCGTGAGTGTTCGCTGTTTTTTCCTAGGCTGTTATGAGGCGAGACCCCCCCGTGCGGGCCCCTTCTGTGCACGCTGCTGCCCCTGCCGGGGCTTCTTCGGTGTCACGCTGTCCCCGAGGGGGACCTACCGTTGCTGATGAGCGGGCCGACGGCGCCACGTCGCACGCCGGCTCTGCAGCGCCCGCCGCCTGCGCAGCCAGATCGAGGCAGTCTGAGCGCGGCGCTCTCGCCCGAGCCCGGGGCGGGCGCGGGGTCGGGGACGAGCCACCGGGCGGAGCCGGGCGGACGCCCGTCCTGCCGCAGGGCCGCCAGACTCTCCCCCCGCAGGGCGCGTGCAGCAGGGAGGGCGACAGACAAGGAGGGGGATCGAGGTTGCAGGAAAGGGCCCCCATGGGGGACAAAGGGAGCCCCAGAGGGCGCACGAAAGGTTTCTCCCCCCCCCCCCCGGCGATTAGCTCACCGCTGGGCAACGCTCCCCCCCCCCATCTGGCCGACTTGGCCTGCTCCGGGCACCCGGGACCCAGGAGTGCAGACATCTCTCGGGGGCGCGCGCACCTCTACAGGGACTCTCGACGCCGTCCGCCGGCGGAGCTGCCCCCGTCTTGCTGCCTCCGCCCTCCGCCGAGGACCAGCGGCGAGCCCGGGGGGGAGGTGGGGAGGGGGGGGCCTTCGCAGGAGGCTCGGAAGTCCCCTGGCCTTATGAGAAGTTGCCCTAACCATCCCCGAAGACACAGAAACGCTCTCAGAAGGCCAGAGGCCTGCTGAGAAGCCTCGCCGCCTTCATGCCAACTGCTTCGACCCTCGAAGGCGAGGCCCTTCCTGGAGGAGCCCGGTCTGGCAAGGCCCTACGCCGCACGCACACGGGCTCCTGGAGGTGGTCCCGGCTGGCTCCGATGGGCAGGCCCGAACTGGATCGGACCGCAGAATCGAGCTGGGATCGGATCGGTGGGGATCGCAGATTTGGCTCGGCCCCTGCAGGCTGGTGAGGAGATCGGCTCGTGCCAGGCCGGAAAGCATCGGAATAGGACTCGGAGCTCTGGGATCGAGTCGGACCGAATCGGACGGTGAGCAGCCCTGACAGGCCCCGAAGGTACAGCAAATGCATCGATTTACGATTCTGCTGCAGGACACGTATGGGGCACATGTGGCGGGACAGTCAAACCAAAAACCGTGCTTTCTCGTAAGGGGGCAAATTTTTACTTCCGCTGGCTTCAGCCGGCCTTCCTCCGTCTTCCGCCGGCGGAGGCGGCCTTGTTCTACTTCCGCCGCATTCCGCCGATCTTCCGCCGAGGAAGAGGTATCAACTCCTTGAACCCTCAAAGGCGAGGCCCTCTCTTGAATGCCTCATCTGTAGTCGATCTCTTCACTTCCTGAGGTGTCTCGGCTCTTCTTCGGGGGTCGCTAAAGGTGCCCCTGGTCCAAGGTGCCCCCGGCTTTTTCCGCTCGATTCTGGAGCCCCTGGGGGCCCTCTGGGCCTTGTAAGGGGTGCTCTGGAGGCTGTGGGTCCTCCCTGGAAATGCTGGGGGCACCTAGCAACACCCGCCTTTGGGACGCCTGCAATGGGTGCGGAAAAAATTGGCACAATGCCCAACAAGAACTGGTGTCCAAAATCAACAGCGGCCGCTGCTGGACAGGCGATCTTTTGTCTCAAATGGACACAGGTCCGCGGCGACACCGACAGCGATTCCTGCTCAGAATGAACAGGAACTGCTGTCGGTCTCTGTGCCCCTTCTCTCCGTCCTCGCTTCGATCGTCCCGAGGCTTCTTTGGAGTCCCGAAACGGTGCGGTGACAGACCGTGCGGTGACCTCGGAATCCCCCAAGACCTCACCGCACGGTGCGTCAACGCACGGTTTTGGGACCTCGGATGCCCCAGTCGCCCGAGACGTCCTCGGAGAACGACCCGAGTCCCAAAACCGTGCGGTGACCCCGAATCCCCACCGACTCACCACACGGTGTGGTCACCACCCCGTTTGGGGGCCCCCGAGCTTCTGCGGGCGCGCAGACTCCTTGTGCGCCGGCACCGAACACCTTCTCACACCCCCTGACCCGCGCACAGAGCGCGCCTGGCGCCCGAAGCCCCTCCAGGGGTGGCGCCTCCTGCTCCTCCTCGACTGCCTCCTCCTCCTCCTCCTCCTCTTCGACTGCCTGCTTTTCCTCTGCTCGTTCGTTTCCTCCTCCTGCTTCTACTTCTCCATCTCGTCTCCCCTCCTGCTGCCTCCTCCTGCTTGTCTCCTTCTGCCTACTCCTCCCCGTCTCCCGCGGGGGGGGGGGGGACAATCGTCTCATCTTCCTCCTCCTCCTCCTCCTCCTCCTCCTCGTCTCCCCCCTCCTTCACCTCGTCTCTCTCGGTGGCGTTAGCCACCCTTGCCAAGCATTGGTCATACTCGGGCGAAGTGTTGAAGCCCGTTGCTCGCTGTTCCTTCTCATTCTCACCAGCAGCAGCACCACCAGCATCAGCATCACCACCAACACCACCAACACCACCCCACCCCACCACCACCACCACCATCACCACCACAATCATCATCATCATCATCATCATCATCATCATCATCATCATCATCATCATCAGCAGCAGCAGCAGCAGCATCAGCATCAGCACCAGCAGCATCATCATGATCAGCAACGTCACCATCAACATCGCCATCATCATCATCATCATCATCATCATCATCATCATCATCATCATCATCACCATCACCATCATCATCATCATCATCATCATCATGACCATCATCATCATCAGCAGCATCATCATCATGCTCACCACCACCACCGATACCACCACCTCCACTACCACCACCACCACCATCATCATCATCAACATCACCATCACAATCAACAGTATCATCATCAGCATCATCACCATCGTGCTCGTCAGCATCATCATCGCCGTCAGCATCATCAGCAACATCACAATCACCATCGACGTTATCATCACGACCGATATCAGCATCAACAGCATCATAATCAACATCATCGTGATCGGCATCGGTGACGTCGTCGTCGTAATCGTCATCGTCATCGTCACCATCATCACCATCATCATAACCACCACCACCACCATCATCATCATCATCATCATCATCATCATCAGCATCATCATCATCATCATATTCATCATCATCATCATCATCATCATCTTCATCATCATCATCATCGCCATAAACAGCATCACCATCGTCACCAACGCCATCATCATATGGCCGTGTCGTGCAGTCTCTTCTTCCTAGTCCTCCTCATAATCCTGGATGTCTCTCTCGTCCTGACTCTCCTCCATTTCATTATCCTCGTCCTCATCATCATCATCATCATCATCATCATCATCATCATCATCATCATAATCATCAACATCATACGAGTCACCAGCACCACGATCACGAGCACCATCCACATCGCGATGAGCATCATCATCGTCATCACCATCATCACCAGCAGCAAGAACATCATCATCACCAGCAACAAAAACATCATCATAATCAACATCCTCTTCCGCCTCGTTCTTCCCATCCTGCTCGTCATCGTCCTCCGTGTTTGCAGTTTTCTCGTCCTCCTCCTGATTTGCATTTCTGCGGAGGTACCAGTGTCCAGAATGCGGTCAGAGAACTGCGTGAGCCACTCATCGTTAACTTGGTCGAAGCCGTTGTAGTGTATCTTCACCTGGTCCCCTTGGAAGTCGACGATGGTGCACTCCCTCTTGGCCCCAGACGGGCTGACCACAACGATGGCCGCGCCCACCCGAAGCTCAGCCGCCTTCGGCTACTGTTGGGAGCAGCTGGGGGGGAGGGGCTAGGAACTATTGGGGGCCATGTTCCGACGAGGACTGGCTGGAACGCTGCAAGCGGAGAGTTCAATGAAAACGGGAACTCGTGTCATGGTGCACGCGCGAACCCTGCACGTGTGCAAGAAATTCGTGACACCCCTCAGCGGGCAACCTTTCGCGCAAACAAGTCGTTTAATGTGGATGGCAGAGGAGGCAAACGATCGAGCGACAAAAGAGTCACACCGTCAACTGCGCAACAACAACGGCAAAATACCAGTGCCAAGCTTCACCACTACAGCGGGAAAACGCCAATGTCTGGTGAACGATGTGACACGTTCGGACTGACACTAGCACAGCGCCTGTAAAGGCCAACTGCAAGGGGCAACTGTACCCTGAAACCAACACGGGTCTGAAGGATGTGGCGCTAGCAAAGTGAACCACGATGGGCACTGTTCGTATCGTCCTAGGCCCCAGAGCACGTATGGATCGAGCCGTCTCGAGAAATTCTGTCTGAACATGGGGGCGGGAGGCTGTGTGTGAATCCATGGTGGAGTGTTTTCACGAAGTCGGATGTCGTGGACATCTTTCATTCCTCCTCATGCTAATCCTGGAGTCGCCTGGACTTTCTCCTGGCGCATCTTGAGCTTGTCCTGGACGGCTTCCTCGATGCGGCTCAGAGTGGCCAGCTGCTCCTTCATGCATTCTTCCAGCTGGCTAATGCTCTGACTGTCCTGCCTCGGCTTCCGCTTCGGGCTGCCATGGCGCGGGGTATCGCATCGTCTACCCCAGTCAACGTTGAACTGGAGGTGGATGTCCCAGAAAGGCTCCTCCCCAAACGCAGGCCAAGACAGGGATAGCGAGAATGGGGCTTGCGATTGTCTCCCCATTCCTCTTCCATTACAACCTCCTCGCGCGCAAAACGGCGAAAGCAATCCAACGTCGCACGCACTGCTCGTAAGTGCTCAGACTCGCCGCGTGCTCAAACACGCTCACTCAGACTCCCGATCACACAGCTTTACTCATGTGAAGATAAAGCCTTACTCATAATCAAAATCGACTCACCAATATGAATTCGCTAGTTGTCAGATCCCCTCGTAGCCAGGCCCATTCATATTCAGACCCCTTACCACACATGATACATTAGACCAAACATAATTCACACATAACCATCTTTGTAATCAAAGCGCATCAAGCATCGCACGTGAGTGCGCATATCGTCGAGACCTCTGAGATGTCATTTGAATTTTGCGGATGAATCAGACATCGTCTCGATGCTGCAAGCGTCGCTTTGGGGCCAGCCATGGGGGGAGCAGACGGGGGGGTGAGCAGGATCCCATCTGCGCACAGATTATCGGGGCCTCCCAAATCGAATGGCAGTTTCATTTCTGGGATGGAGTCAGACGTCTCTTCTGAGAATCCCCATGGTCATTGCGATGGTACAGGCGTCGGATTCGGGTCTCCCCCGGTCGAAGGGCGTCACCTTTATACCTACACCGATCCTGGCCAGGCCAGTTCTGGGCCCGGATTTGTGTATATGCCTTCCAAACTTTCTCGCCAAGCCAGGAGGGCGTATACACCGATCCTGGGCCCCAAATAGGTCTGACCAGAATCGATGTAGGCGTACAGCTTTCGTTCTCCAATCCAAGAGGAAGCCGACCAAACGGGTTATCACGAGCCCATTCGCGCCGAGATGGTCCAGATCGCTTCAATCGGATAATTCGCCGCGGCTCGTATGGTACTCTGCGTGTGGGCTGTGTCCCTTCCCCTTCTCCTCCTTCATCCTTCTACCCCTCCACCATATATCTAAGCAAAAGCTAGGCAGCGTGGACCTTAAGCAGTAACTGATTGCACTGCACTGTAGATATGTGGGCTACGTGGTGCAAGCTACATGGTGCAAGCTAGAGGCGACAACGAGGCGGCAACGTGGCGAAGCCTCGCCCGACCCACCCAACGCACGAGGCGGCAATGAGACGGTAACGGGGGGGAACGTGGCGGGGCTTCGCCGGACCCCTCCCAGCGCACGAGGCGGTAAGGAGGCGGCAACGGGCGGCAACGTGGCCAAACCTCGCCAGATCAACCTAGCGCACGAGGCGGCAGCGAGGGGGCAACGGGCAGCAACGTGGAATATCCTCGCTGGACCCAACCGCTATCTGTGAGAGAGAAGTCAGAGACCCTACACGGAAGCGCACCCGACACGGGCAACTAGGGAACCTCGAGGGCGATGCCCGACAGCAGATGCTGTCCAAAACCGACGGCGGCCGCGGCTGGGCAGGCGAAGCGAGGCCCAGATGGACACCGACCGAGGCGACACCGACGGCGAATCCGACGGCGAATCCTGCTCAGAAGCCGCAGTAAACAATTGAGACCCCCCCCTGGGGTTATCGTCAGCACCGCACCGTAATTAAATAACTCCTGGGGGCGGTTTTCGCGGAAGGGTATCTCTAGCACCGCGCAAAAGAAAGGAAAATAACTAATTCCTGCGCCTTGGCTCGGGCAGTATCCCAATGGGAACCTGTAGGACTCCTCCATAGGACTCTACCATAGGACTCCCCCACAGCAGACTCGTCTGCGTTCAGAGCAGTTTCTGAGGATATCTCAGGCGAGGCGCTTTCCTTGTTTCGGCGGGCAGACTCGTCTGCGTTCAAAGCAGGTTGCGAGGTGCCAGGGTAACGCTTCCAGGGTGCTGGAGCTTTATACTTTCGCCTGAGAGGGGCGGGGGGGGTTCTTAATTGCTTCTCCGGGTAATGGGTAGGAACCGCTGCCAGTCTTCGTGCTCATCCTCTCCGCACCCAGTTGGATCCTCCCGAGAAAGCATCCAGCAACCTCGATTCTGGCACGCGCTAACATGCATTACGGATCCGTGGATCTGGCGCGTGAGCGCCGGATCCACGGGTCGGGGAAGGTACCCCTCCGAAGCGTGAGACCAATGCCACCTGATGGGCGCGCCGATGCTGAACAAGAAAACGGCACCCGTCGCTAATCCTCGCGCCCCAATCCATGTTGGCCCCTCCTCGATGGATCCTCGATCATCCTCCGCCCCGCCCCCCCTCCTCGGGCGTGTTGACGCTGGCGCAAGTGTACCGGCTCGCCTTGGCGCCCCTCCCGAAGAGGTGCTCGGGCACGCTGACGCGCAGCTTCCAGCCTCTCCCACCCAGGGGCGCGCCGGCGACGGAACAGAGTATGATCACTCAGACGAGGATCGAGGATCGAGGAGCGACCGAAGATCGAGGATCGGTTTGCTGTCGGAAGCCACCAGAAGCCTCTGGACTTCCTGGGACCTCCGTGGTCCTCTGAATATTGTGGGGGGTAGGCGATCGACGGCTTCTCCAATCTCCTACTTCTGCCCAAGCTCTCTGAGGGGCCCAACGGCTTTGATAGGAAATCAAGCCCCTGATGAGCTCTTCATCCATACCGTACATCGGGGACATTCTACACCACTATCAGCTGATCTCGTACTTATGCTTCTACAGGATTCCCCCCTTGCCAATTCAAGACTGCTGGCTTGCAGGAAGCAGTTGTGGGAATTCCCTGATCGACCCCGCACCCCGAGCTGCTTCGGCGACCCCGCACCGCAGCCAATGTTGAATCGAGGGCAGGGGGGAGTTAACACACGATGCCTAGTGTCCCAGGCACCAGATGGTGAAGCATTTTGCCAATGCAACCTACTACTGTGAGGACTGTTTGCCTAGCGTGTCGCGGCGGCGGCCCCAGCGAAATGCCCTGCAAGCGGTTGGTGTGCCGCTCGGGCCTCGCTGGGCGGGAGGCTGGGAAAGCCCAGGGCGCGGCTGCCCGGGGGCTGAGACGCGGTCAGCGTGCTGCGCCGAAGCGCGGTGGGCCAGAACCGGCGGCGCGACACGCGAAGTAGCAGTTCCCGACCATGTTGGGGCTGGCCACTGTGAACCTCGGACGGGGAGGGGATGCCCTCTGGTCTCGCTCGGGCTCAGACGCACGAGGAGCGGCGGTGGCGAGCCATGTGAGGGCCCTGAGGAACATCGGGCCTCCTTCGGGAACGTATTGGGCCTCGTCCCAAGGTCTTGACCGCAGTGCCGCTCCACCTGCCGCCGAGAACTGGGGACAGCAGCAGCGCTCACGACAAAAGGTGGATCACCGAGGCGGGGGGATTAGGAGTGGGAGGACGAGGAGGTGGATCGTGCCCTGGAGAGGGAGGAGGAGGAGGAGGAGGAGGACGACGACGACGACGACGACGAGCAGAGAGGAGCAAAAGGGCAAGCTAGGTGCGCTCGCGCCATATCTAACATCCTACCAGGCACCAGGTGCCGGGACATTTGCTTGACCATCACCCAGGGCGAACACCTACGTATCACATCGTATCCCCTGGATCCGGGAGCAGCCAGACCCACGCTCATGGACGCTTGCGGGATTTTGGGCATGGGGCGACAGGGACACCGACCCCGATTTGCGCCCTCCGAGCCACGGCGGCCTGGGCTTCTTAGCTCTGGGACGCGTCGGCCACCGCCGCCCTCTCCCTTGTCTTTGGCACTGTCCTGACGAGATTGGGGAGATGCTTGGGTGAAGGGTGCCACACCGCCGAAACTCGTCACAAGGTTCAGCAAGGCGCGAGGGTTCAAACCCTGAGCGTTTGGCTGCTACTCTGGGTGGGGTCTGTTAGAAAGCAACCCACGAAAGCTTCTGGTAGCCCCAATGGCGCGTCCACTAGCGCGCAAAGTGGACGTCATGCATCTCCCTCACACGGCGCCGTTGGGCGCTGTTGGTCGCCATTGGGCGCTAACCTCCGCTATTCGGTGCTACTCGGCGCTGTTGGGCGCAATTTGGCACCATTGAGCGATGTTGTGCGCTCGATGCGTCCAATCAAAGACGAGCGGGAGTTTCCGTGTAAGGTATGTCCGCAACGCCGCTCAACGATTTGCTGTGTACCAAAACTCGCAGGGTGGGCAATTGCCCGAATCCGCGCCTCGGTGCGGATCGTCAGCGGGCCTTGTCTCCGCCAGCGTCGGCTTCGGTCTCGTCGTTGTCGTCGTCAGTGCTGTTCTGCTCGGGACCTCGTTCCTGATGCAGGGGCCACCATCTTGGCCTCTTGGCTTGTCAATCATTGCGCGACCCCTGGCTTTCCGTCCGTCCGTTTGTCTTCCTGGCAAAACTTCTCCTCCTCCTCCTCCTCTTCACCCTCTGCCCGTCCACTTCCTCCTCCTCCTCCTCCTCCTTCTCCTCACGCTCCTTCTCATCCTCCTCCTCCCTGGTGCCCGGCCTGAGCTCTCCGACGGGAAGTTGATGCCAGAGACCACACGGATCGTGAGCACCCCGTCTTCCACAAAGCCGTCCGCCCGCTTGATATGGCGCCCGTCCTCATGTCGGTGGCCCAGAAGCCCCCAGGGGCGTCTTCCTCCTCTTCCTCCTCTTCCTCCTCCTCCCTCATCCTCCTCCTTCTCCCTCATCCTTCCATCTTCTCTTCCCACCTCATCCCTCCTCTCTCCTCTCTCCTCCTCCTCTTCTTCCTCCTCCTCCTTCCTCATCCAACTCTTCACCCAAACCCTCCTCACCCAATCCCTCCTCCCACCCCGTCCTTGTCCTTTTCCTTATCCTCTTCCTCCTCCTTCCCCCCCCCCCCTCCTCCTCCTCCTCCTCCTCCCTCCTCCTCCTCCTCTCTCCTCCTCCTTCTCCCCCTTCTCATCCTCCTCCTCTCTTCCTCCCCTCCTCCTGCTTCCTCCCTCCTCCTCCTCTCCTCCTCCTCCTCAGCCTCCTCCTTCCTCATCCTCCTCCTCCGCCTCCTGCTCCTCCTCCTCCTCCTCCTCCTGTTCCTCCCTTCCTCCTCCTTCTCCTCCTCCTCCTCTCCGCCGTCCCCTTTCCAACTTATCATGTTTCCGACTTCCTCCCCCTCCTCCTCCTCCTCCTCCTCCTCCTCCTCCTCCTCCCTCTATGCCTCCCTCGCCCACTCCCGCCTCGAAGAGGCGGGGACGGGACCAGGACGGGGCACGGCTCGAGGGACTCCAACGGAGCCAGGCGGTCCCTGCCGTGGTCGTTCGAAGGGGTGTCTCTGTCCTCGACGATGGCCCAAAGGACCCCGGACGAAAAGAGAACAACATTGATCACCTTCCCCATCATCATCGTCATCAATATCACCACAACTAACCATCACCGGCAGCAGCGTGAACCTCATTATACGCATCGTGCTACTCCTCCTCCTCCTCCTGATTCTTCCCCTCCTCCTCCTCCTCCTCCTCCTCCTCCTTCTCCTCCTCTTCCTCATCATCACCACCTTCATGAGCATCGTCGCCGTCATCACCACCAAGATAGTAGTACTAATGATTAAAATGCGAATAATAATGATCCGCCGGCCCCCTTGTGGGGCCACCAGGCTGTAGGCCCGTGATTCGCAGTTTCCTGTACCAGTCGTAGGTTGTAGTTTCCAATGTTACAGTTCTGCTTCTTGCTGGTTACTGTAACTAGTTGACTTATTGCTGGTTACTGTAACTAGTTGATTGACCGCGCGAGGGGGGGGGAGGCCCAAAGTGGCTTTTTAGCGTCCCCTGGGCGCGTTGTCTGAATTGCTGGGGGGGCTCGAAATCGACACCCCTCACGCAGATCCGCGGGGTCAGGGTCCAAAAACACATGGGATTTGCCACATTTCTGAAATTCGGTGCCACCCCTCACGCAGATCCGCGGGGTCAGGGTCCAAAAACACAAGGGATTTGCCACATTTCTGAAATTCGGTGCCACCCCTCACGCAGATCCGCGGGGTCAGGGTCCAAAAACACATGGGATTTGCTACATTTCTGAAATTCGGTGCCACCCCTCACGCAGATCCGCGGGGTCAGGGTCCAAAAACACATGGGATTTGCCACATTTCTGAAATTCGGTGCCACCCCTCACGCAGATCCGCGGGGTCAGGTCCAAAAACACATGGGATTGCATATTTCTGAAATTCGGTGCCACCCCTTACGCAGATCCGCGGGGTCAGGGTCCAAAAACACATGGGATTTGCCACATTTCTGAAATTCGGTGCCACCCCTCACGCAGATCCGCGGGGTCAGGGTCCAAAAACACATGGGATTTGCCACATTTCTGAAATTCGGTGCCACCCCTCACGCAGATCCGCGGGGTCAGGGTCCAAAAACACATGGGATTTGCCACATTTCTGAAATTCGGTGCCACCCCTCACGCAGATCCGCGGGGTCAGGGTCCAAAAACACAGGGGATTTGCCACATTTCTGAAATTCGGTGCCACCCTTCACGCACATCCATCGCAAGGCGTGGTAACCCAAACTGCGAGAACTCCCTCGGCCCTTTAATCGCAAGGTGTGGTAACCAAGCCCGTAAACCATACACGTCTTACCAATCGCCAGGTGTGGTAACCCCTCTTGTGATCAGTTGGTTTTGCTGATTGCGAATCGGCTTCGCATGAAGTTTCGATACTGCTTCACGACAGCGCCAAGGCCTCATGACTTAGCTCTTCCATGGCCCATTCTCCGAGAGAGGGGGCCGGCGGCAGGGGGCGAAGCCCTTACGGATAATCATCACCATCATCACCATCATCAGCATCATCATCATCATCATCAACATCATCATCATCATCAACATCATAAACGTCATCATGAGCACGATGATGATGATCATCATCACGATCAGCATCAGGATCAGCATCATCATCATCGTCATGATCAGCACCAGCGAGAGCATCATATTCATCATCATCATCATCATCATCATCATCATCATCATCATCATCATCATTCTCATCATCATCACCATCGTTATGATGAACATCAGCATCGCCATCGCCATCGTCAACGTCATCGTCATTGGCATCAGCATCATCAGCATCAACATCAGCATCATCTTCAGCAGCATCGTCATCATTATCGTTATTATCATGACCATCCATATAATCGACACCTTCATCAGCAGCATAATCATCATCATCATCAGCATCACCATCATCATCATCATCATCATCATCATCATCGTCAGCATCAACATCATGAACATCATCAGCACCAACATTATCATGATCAGCATCATCAACCTCATCATCATCATCAGCATCGGCATCTGCATCAACAGCATCATCACCAGCATCATCACCGGCATTTCAACCATCATCATCATCATCATCATCATCATCCTCATCTTTCTCAGTGCCATCATCAGCATCGTCACCATCATCATCATCATCATCATCATCAGCATCATCATCACCATCATCATCCTAATCATCATCATCAGCATCAGCATCATCATCACCATCACACCATCGTCATAACCATCATTATCATCATCAGCAGCAGCAACTTCATCATCAGCATCACCATTCTCATGATTAGCGTCATTATCACTCCTGGTCCTCCTCGCCCTCCTCCACCCCAACTCTCATCCCCTTCCTCCTTCTCCTTTCCCTCCTGCCCTGGTGGAGGGCCGACGACCACCTGGGTGCCCGCGACAAGGTGGGGGAGGGAGGAGGAAGAAGCCGGAAGGCGGAGGAGACACGTGGAGTGCGAGCCACTCGACCCCACCGTTGTGCGCGCACGCGCCTGTCGGAGGCAAGAGGCAGGGAAGGATGGGGACGGAGGGGGCAAACAGGAGAGGGTGCTGGGGGTGAGGGACGGAGACGGCCACGTGGCCATGCTCAGACGTCGCTGCCAGGTGCCAGTGCCGTCGATGGCCGAAGGTCGCTCACTCTCAGAGAGGCCGATGGCCCAAGCCTGCATCATGCTCCCCGCCGATGCGCCCTTTCTTCTCCTCCACATCCTCCCTCCTCCCTCCCCCTCCCACATCCTCCATCCTCCTCCTCCAGCTGTTTTTGTCTGCTTACCCCTCCTCCTCCTCCTCCTCCTCCTCCTCCTCGTCCTCCTCCCCCTCCTCTCTCATCATCCCATCCCCGCCTGCTCCTCCTGTTTATCCTCCTCCTCCTCCTCCTCCGAAGTCGTCCTCCTCCTCCTCCTTCCTACCCCTTCCCCTCCCCCTCCTCCTCCATCCCTACCCCTCTTCCTCGACCCCAAGCGCCTCCCTGTCCTCATCCGCGAAGAACGAGAACCATCACGACGGAATTGGCCTCGATGGAAATCAAAGGTGGGTCTGACCTCGACGCTCGCCCACACGACCTCTTCTTCTTCGTACTGTTTTACACGTTAATACATGTCCTTGGTATTCCCATCATTGCTCCTCCTCCACCTCCTACTCTCTGATACCCTGCTTTTGCCCACCCTCCTCCTCCTCCGCATTGATTATTCTGCTCCGCCTGGAGGAACGCGAGGAGGAGGAGGACGAGGAGGAGGAGGAGGAGGCGGACGATAAGTCACGACGTAAGAACAAATGTGCGCGATGGGTACCGACGGCTGCAGGCGAAACCCCAAGTCGTCGCTCGTGGGGGGAAGGGGGGCGTCCTGTTCGCTGGCCCACATGACCTCGAAGAAGATGGACGGGAACGCATCGGGGTCTGGGATCACACCGCACGCTTGCAGGCCTGGGGGGATGCGAGCTGTCTTCATGCCATGTCGTGTTTCTTGTTGGAAAAGGTACAGGCGTCGAAAAAAGACCACGTCAACCGTTCTCGTCGCGTCTCGGGCCCCGGAACCCTCACGGGTCGGTCCAGCTCGAGATATGTCTCAGAGAGATATGGTGGATGGCCTTTTCATCATGTTTCAAAACGCGGTGCTCTTGGCACGCGTCGGATCTCTCTTCAGCCAACCAGAGGGACACGAGGGTACCGATGCAGTTGCTCCACGGACCTGTTCTGGGGTTCGTCCTGGCAAGAATTTCGAGACGAATCCAGCCACGGCGACCAGGGTCCCAGCAGAAAGCCCAGAGTGGGAAAAGCGGGGAAAAAGGTAGCGGCGTCGGTATTTGTTCCTTCTTTGGTCCAACGCCGGTTCTGGCCATGCCAATCCTGCACTCGGGAGCAGCGCATGAGGCCCCCCCTGGCCTGGCCAGGGATGCGTGTGCACACCGCCGCTGGGGTCTTGGACTGGCCGCCCAGCTGGGACAGGATCGGTGTGTGCTGGCGCACGCAGGGGGCGTCCAAGAGAGGGGTGACCGGATCATGGCCAGAAACAATTGCGCAGCCTAGGGAAGGCCGAGGGACGAAATTAGAAGAAAACGAATTATCCCAGTGTGACCCTACCTAGGAGTTTGAGCATTTAGGAGAGCAACATCTACATCTACACCGACAGCTACAGTTACATCTACACCTGCCTCTACATCTACATCAACATCAACAGCGATATTCACATCTACATCTACAGCTACACCTACATCTACACCTATGCTATGCTATGCTATGCTATGCTGTGCTTGGCTATGCTATGCTATGCTATGCTATGCTGTGCTAATGCTGCGCTGCGCTGTGCTGCGCTGCGCTAAGCTAAACTAAGTTAAGGTAAGTTAAGCTATGCTAAGCTAAGCGAAGCAAAGCTAAGCGAAGCTAGGCTAAGCTAAGCTAAGCTAAGCCAAGTCAAGCTAAGCTAAGCTTAGCTAAGCTAATATGAGATAAGCTAAGCTAAGCTAAGCTAAGCTAGGCTAGGCTAGGCTAGGCTAAGCTAAGCTAAGCTAAGCACAGATGAGATAAGCTAAGCTAGGGTAAGCTAAGCTGAGCTAAGCTAAGCTGGGTGAACCCAAGGGGCGCAACTGGGGGAACCGCGGGGCGGATGCCGGGGGAACCGCCCGGGGCGTTTTACACTGCCCGACCCCTTTAAGCCCAGAGGGTAAGAACCCTTCTAGGCAGAGCCTAGGTAGGGAATAATAAAAATAAGAAGCTGAAGAAGGAGAAGAAGAAGAGGGGGCAACTAAATCCAGGAAAGTAAAATTGGCCCCCCCCTGCTCATCACCCTCTCACTGCGCCGCTCCCAGTGCGCTTTGGGCGTCCCCCTGAGGGCCGGTGATCGGGCAGAGGACGACGCTGGGGTCCTCGCTCCTCCCCTCGCTGAGGGGCAAGTTCAGTATCCCAGAGCCCACTCCGCGAGGAGGCTCGGCGCCGCCGATGCCGATGCGCTCCTCTGCGGGGAAGACCTGCGCGCGGCCGAGGAAAAAAAAGGGGGGCCTTCTTCGGGGCCGCCCAATGAAGGTTCTGTGGTGTGGGCCGGGTAGCAGGCGAGAACCGATACGCGCCGTAGCCTAACTTCGCGCATCGTCCCGTGCGATGCGCGACGCGCGGCTACCTTCGCGCCATGGAGAAGGGGGTCGTTGCCGCTTGTGGCCCAGGCCGCGACGGGCGAAGCTGGATTATCCTCATGCCCCTCGAGGCGACCCAGAATGACTGCCAGGTTTTGGGATGCAGAGCAAGAACTCAATCGGAAGAGGAACAAGACCGATTGTAAGCCGCCAAGCAGCCCATCAGCTTGACGCCGGCTGTCCGCCAGACGAGCCGACGGACTTGCCACTTGGGCGCGGATCGGTTGAATTGGCCACGGAGGAGCCAGGAAGCAACGCCCAATCCGGCAAACCAGCTCGCGAGGCAACGCGTGAGGATCGAAGGTAGGAGGGGTAAGACCGAAATGAAACGTGAGGTGCTCTACCAAGAAATCGTTTCGTTTCGTTCGTGACGTGCGTGCGGGCAAAGCAAAACTGCACGAAATCCTGCCCTATGAGAAAACAAAGTCAGATCAATTTGTTGCGCCACATGTCTGGTTTCGTGCCCACAATGGCCACCAGGTTGTCCCGATAGACCGACATGTATCTTTAGAAACGGTTATCCCGATGGCAGTGGCCCATGGTCCCCTGGTGGTCCCGATAATTGTCACGATGGTTGTCTCGATGATTGTCCGAATGGTTGTCCCGACAGTTGTGCCAATGGTTGTCTGTTGGTTGTCCCGATTATTGTCACGATTGCAGTGCTTGTCCCGACAAACAGATAGTGAGATTGACACACATGTTCAGGGTGAAGATATAAAAAAATGTTGTCTAGATAGTTGTCCCGATGATTGTTCCAACAGACAGCCAGCGTGATCGACAGATAGACTGATGAAGAGAACGAAACCGAAGGTCCGACCGATTGATGGTCAGACCGATCGACTGATGGTCCCGATGCGTTCCCAGAAGGTTCTTCCGATGGTTGTCCCGATGGTTGTCCCGATGGCTTTCCCGATGGTTCTCCCGATGGCTGTCCCGATGGTTGTTCGATGGACACAGTTGTCCCGATGGTTGTCCCGATGGTTGTCTTGATGATTGGTAGAGCTCTGCAAGGGTATGAAAACTGGCGGACATATAGACAGATTCATTCGTTTGTACGGAAATAAGCCGACATATTTTCAGATCGAAGGCCCTATGAACCGATGGGTGCACATACATATATACACATGTACATATATACATATGTGTACATATATGTATACGTGCACGCATGCTTATAAGCACATGATTATAAGGCCCGCCGCAGGCCGCTAAGGGGGTGGGCTGAGTGGCAAACAAACGACGAGGCGACCATCGGGACAACCATCCTCATCCACCGAACAACCTATGCCAGTATCATCTTCAATCGGCTTCACGATCTATTAACCAACCTCACGATCACAGCACGCGTTTATCGACCGAGCTGTACATATATCGAGATGAGTACCGACCTCCGATTGATACTGCTATGTGTCGATGCCACGACCTCCTTGCGGATTCCACACTCTACCGACCCAACTATGTATACATACATATCACGGACTATCGAGTTCACTGCAAATCTCACGGTCGATCCGTCAATTTGCTTTGCGAACTATCTACCAATCTCACTGCACATCTACCGGCCTCACTAACAATCGGCTTTACCATCAACCGATTTCACGGCCGACTTTACTATCGGCCACTCGATCTACATCACGACCCAGACATCACCATCTCTCTGCCGACCAAACTATTCAACAATCGGAACACTAATCGCATGCGTCTTGCATGTTGCCCAACAAATCGAAGCGCCGAATGCGCCGAGCGCATCTTTTGGTAGAAACCCATCGGGGCGACCCTTCGGGACAACCATCGGGACAGCCAACAAGACAACCATCGGGGAAACCATCGGGACAACCATCGGGGATACCATCGGGACAACCATCGGGACAACCATCGGGACAAACATCGGAACAAACATCAAGACAACCGTCTGGACAACCATCGCCATCGCGACAACCATCAGCACAACCATCGGGACAACCACAATCCCAAATCCGCCGAACGGATGGAGGAGAGTCTGTCGCTCCGACTTCGCCTTAAGAGAGGCGGGATCACACCTCTTATATGCGAAGTCAGCTTGGCCCCACCCGCGCGCGCGGCACGAACGCGAAACCGAAAGCGATTTCCCAGTGGGGAGCCCCCGTTCTATTACGACTGCCCCGCGCACCGATTTGTTTATTTACAATAACCCACCCAGCACCCATTGATTTTGCATCGGTCGTTGACCTCCGCTTCTTGTTATCTTTTATGCGTATCCCCCCCATCGCCTTCCCTGTCTTGACCCCAATTCCTCTTCCTCTTCATGCTTCCCTCCCCCATCCACGTCCTCTTTACCTCCATGCCTTGTTCCCCCAGTCGTCCTCGCTGCGTGGGTCCATCCCCCTTCCTCTTCCTGCCTCCCCCATCCACTTCCTGTTATCCTTCGTGCTTATTCCTCCAATCTTCCTCCTTGACTTGATCCCTCCCTCTTCCGACACCGAACACAATGGACTACAACTGGAGCTCGCTGGAACCTACGCGCGCGCGAAGCGTGCGTGGTTCTATAGGTATAAGTGCAGTAGCAGTAGACATCGTAGTAGAACATGTAGTAGTAGTAATAGTAGTAGTAGTAGTAGTAGTAGTAGTAGTAATAGTAGTAGCAGTAAAAGTAGTAATAGTAGTAGTGGTAGTAGTAGTAGTAGTAGTAATCGTAGTAGTAGTAGTAGTAGTAGTACTCGTACTAGTACTACTAGTAGTAGTAGTAGTAGTAGTAGTAGTAGTAGTAGCAATAGTAGTAGTAGTGGTAGTAGTAGTAGTAGTAGTAGTACTAGTAGTAGTAGTAGTAGTAGTAGTAGTAGCAGTAGTAGTAGTAGTAGTAGTACTAGTAGTTGTCGTAGTCGTAGTGGTAGTAGTAATAGTAGTAGTAGTAGTAGTAGTAGTAGTAGTAGTAGTAGTAGTAGTGGTAGTAGTAGTAATAGTAGTAGGAGTAGTAGTAGCAGTAGTAGTCGCAGTGATAGTAGCAGCAGCAGAAGTAGTAGTAGTAGTAGTAGTAGTAGTAGCAGTAGTAGTAGTAGCAGAAGTAGTAGCAGTAGTAGTAGTGGTAGAAGTAGTAGGAGGATCAGTAGTAGTGCTGGTGCTAGTGGTATTCGTCAAAGTCGCCCTCGTAGTACGTAGTAGTAGTAGTAGTAGTAGCAGTAGTAGTAGTAGTAGTATTATTAGTAGTAGTAGTAATAGTAATAGTAATGATAAAAGTAGTGGTAGTAGTAGTAGTAGTAGTAGTAGTAGTAGTCGTCGTCGTCGTAGTAGCCATCGCAGAAATTGCAATCGTCGTAGTACTGGCCGAAGTACTAGTAGTAGTAGTAGTAGTAGTAGTAGTAGTAGTAGTAGTAATGCGCAGTCCTCGTAGTAGTAGTAGTAGTAGTAGTAGTAGTAGTAGTAGTAGTCGCCGCCGTAGTAGTAGTAGTAGCAGTAATGGTAGTCGTAGTCGTAGTAGTAGTATTCGTCATCGTCGTCGTCGTCGTAGTAGCCGTAGCTGTGGCAGCGGTCGTAGTCGGAGAGGCAGCCGTCATTGTGGATCTAGGTAAAGCAACAGCGGAAGCCGTGGTCGCAACATTAGCCTCATTTGCCGTAGCAGTATAACATTAATGGCCGAAGTGGTAGTAGTAGTCGTAATGGTAGTAGCAGGAGTGGTCGCCAGTGTAGTCGCGGTGGCAGTAATCGCAGTAGTAGTAGTAAAGGTAGTAGTAATAGTAATCGCAGTTGCAGTACTAATAATTTTTAGTAACCGTAGAACTAGTACTGGTTATAGTAGTAGCGATAGTGGCAGTAGTAGTAGTAGTAGTAGTAGTAGTAGTAGTAATAGTAGTAGTAGAAGTAACAGTAGTAGTAGTAGTAGTAGTAGTAGTAGAAGTAGTAGTAGTAGTAGTAGTAGTAGTAGTAGCAGAAATAGTAATAGTCGTAGCAGTAGTCGTCGTAGTGGTAGGTAGGTGTAGCGGTAGTAGCACTAGTAGTTGTTTTCGTAGCAGTCGTAGTCGTAGTCATAGTGGCAGCAGTACGATTCGTGATACTCGTAGTAATCGTGGAACAACGATTATAGTAGTATGAGTGGTAGTAGCCGTAGTAGTCGTAGTAGTAGTAGAAGTAGTAGTAGTAGAAATAATCGTAATGGTACTAACAGTAATAGGAGTAGTAGTAGTAGTAGTAGTAGTAGTAGTAGTAGTAGTAGTAGTAGTAGTACTAGTAACAGTAGTAGCAGTCGTAGAAGTAGTCGCAGTAGCAGTGGTAGTTTCCGCACGTGTAACTGTAGCTGTGATAGCAGTAGTAGCAGTAGTAGTAGTAGTAGTAGTACTAGCAGTAGCAGTAGTAGTAGTAGTAGTAGTAGTAGTAGTAGAAGAAGAAGAAGTCGTAGTACTAGTCGTTGTGGTCGCAGTACTCGCATTACGAGTAGCAGTCGTAGTATTAGTAGTAGTAATAGTAGTAGTAGTAGTAGTAGTAGTCGTAGCAGTAGTAGTAGTAGTAGCAGCAGCAGCAGCAGCAGTAGTAGTAGTAGTAGTAGTAGTAATAGAAGTAGCAATAGTAGTGGTAGTAGTAGTAGTGGTAGTAGTAGTAGTAGTAGTAGTAGTAGTGGTAGTAGCAGTAGTAGTAGTAGTCGTAGCAGTAGTAGTAGTAGTAGTAGTTGTTGTTGTTGTTGTTGTAGTAGTTGTACTAGAAGAAGTCGTAATCGGAGTCGCAGTTCTAGTGGTAGTATCCGTAGTAGCAGCAGTAGTCGAAGTAGCGGTAGCATCTCTCAGCAGCTGATCCATTCTGTGCCGCGTCACTTCCTGCTCCTCCTCCTCCTCACTCTCCTCCTCTGGGGCCCAAGAGGCCCCCAACCTCAT